CTTCTGCTCGAGAAAGGAGCCGACATTACAGCCACCAAAGATGGCGGATGGACGCCTCTCAATCTAGCTTCGAATAATGGCCATCTCGACGTGGTCAAGCTTCTGCTCGAGAAAGGAGCCGACATCACAGTCACCAATAGTGACGGATGGACGCCTCTCCACTCAGCGGCATACGAGGGTCATCTTGATGTCGTCAAGATCCTTCTAGGGGAAGGCGCCGTGAAGAATGTCGTTGGTGGAGAGTCTGGGAACGCACTTTGCGCGGCTTCACGGGGAGGCCATGACGCGATTACAAAGGTACTGGTTGGCAAGGACGCCGATGTCAACCCGCATGGTGGAGATACTCAGGGTCGGACCGCTCTTCACCTTGCTGCACGAGGTGGACATATCGACACTTTTCAATTTCTAGTCAGTCTAGGCCTCGATCTCAGTGCCTCAGATGAGAAGGGAGATGGTGTACTCTGCTATGCGTCTTCAAGTGGCTCACCGGATATGCTTCACGCCGCGTTGAACCTTGGTCTTGAATTCTCTTCCGAAATCATGCATTGGAGTCCACTTCACTGGGCATGTAGATCGGGACAACCTGAAGTTGTAAAGCTATTAATCAAGGAGGGTCTGCGCAGCGAGTGTGTCACTGTCCCTGAACCTCAGGATCAGTGGAGCCCTCTAGACATCACTATCTTCCATGGAAACGAGGTTATGTTGGAGGAGCTCTCCTCATTATGCCGAGCTCTCCTGAGCGCAGAAACTCATACCTCTCGGTCCCCTGGTACACTTCATCAATATACGTGCAGTGGATGCTTACATGTAAGTAGGTAATGTGGATTTCCGAATGTATCTAATGCTGAAGTAGGACATCTATGGGCCCCGATCTCACTGCCGAACATGCCCAGATCTGGATTATTGCTTCATGTGCAAGCCTTTCTTAGGTAGTCTGCATGTAGGTCACGAGTGGGAGGTTTTTTCAGCTTGATAGCTAGCGCTTGGTTGCGGCGACCCATCGACTTGATCAGAATCACTTTCACATTGGTCGAGCATGAAGGCCGTGTTGTCCGTTGATAAATTCCTACTCAGGTATGACGACACGGAACACCCCTTATTCCAAAACTAAACCCTTTCGGGAAATTGCGATCGCCGCTCGAGCCAATCCTACGAACACCACAACCTTCTGCCCTTCGTCGCATGATCGACTCTTCTAGCACCTCTATTTAGTCCTTTGTGTCGTTCGTTCTACAGAATCAGCGTATTCTTGAGGTCCTTCCCTTCGTCGCATTGTTGTTAATGCAAACGTATGTTGCTAGAACGATGCCTGAGGTGACCACCATCCCGAAAATGTTAGAGAACATCTTACAAGACATGATCTTTTCATCAATGAGCCAGAGCCGGTTATTATCTGCCGTTCCTGCAAATTCTCTCCTGGCGATTCCCCAAGCGCCGTCGCAAACCACCTCGCCGAGAAGCCTAACGTACCCAAATCGACTACAAAAGAGCTGAGGCGGCTGTTGCGCCCTTACACATTCTTGGGACCGGAAGCCTTGCGCCTCCGCCCAGATGGATCCACTCCGCACCCGCATCTCCGAGTGCAGCCTAACATTGCCTGCAGGCACTGCTGTTTGAAGACCACCAGCCATGAAGTACTGGGTCGCCACTTGTCTAAAAACCATGGAGTAAAGCGAAAATCACCAACATGGCTCCACGACCACGTGGTTAGCGGTTTATCGCTGCAAAGCTGGGGATGGCACAGTGCTGCCGGATACTGGATTGTGAAGCCGGAGTCCTCGATCGCGCAGGCTCTTGATGACAGCTTGCTCCAAGACTCTATGCCGCGACTCTCTCGATTAGAGGCGTTACATCGGAAAGAGCGGGACAGTCTGTTGGCTCGACAAAAGGCATCTGCTACTGACAGCGGTAACACTGATATGGCTCTCAATACGAATTGGATGCGGCGCACAGGGTGGGCTAAAACGTTCGCCGATTCAGACCGATCGTTCCTTGCGAAAGTAGCACAGATGCCTCAGGTTGCGGAACATGGCCTGTTACTAGGCACCTCCAACGGTACCGATCTCTACAGTTGAAAGGCGGACGAGCAAAGGCTAGTGCTTATGATCGCGGCTCTGGGTCGTGCATTTGACCGGTGTGCAGACACTGTTCGACATACGGACGTATCGATGAGATGCTGGCTACGCAGCCAGTTCGTCGATCGGCCATACAAGGCTCCATTTGAGTTGGTTGGGCGTGAGAGCACTTCTCACGGCTATCAAAGGCTCATGAAAAGATGCGTTTGCTTTTGCTTCCGTCTGTGGAGGATGAGTGAGGAAGCAAGGCAACAACTAGCGAAGAGGAACCTAACAGAAAGCGAATGTCAAGCACTCGCCCAAGTGTGGGATGATGATGGGTGACTTGTCCATGGATCAGTTCCGAAAGATCAGCCACGATACTATTGATTGCGCCACAGCTGTCTGCAGACAAATGATGTACGAGTGGTGTCCTGAGTCCGATCTCACACGCATCCGCGACAGGCTGTCTAACACCACTCTTGGCTACTCGTTCGTAGCTGATCCTGCTAACGGTCTGGGAGAATCGTACCTTGAGCTTTCTAGAAGAGCATGCCTGGCGACCGCGAACGGTCTGATGACGGATGATGATTGGGATTCAGTCGCGGTCCGCCGATACCTTGATCGGTACGATCATTTGACGCACCTCTTAGTCCTATTGGTCTACCTTGTTGGCGGGCAAGCCCCAAGAGGAACTGAACTCTTTGCTTTGGAGCATTGCAATGGAGCTTCGACGTCTCGTGGAGTTTGCGTCTACGCTGGCAAGATGGCCCTGATCAGTCGACATCACAAGGCTCGCCGCACGACCAATAGCGAGTTTCAAGTGGTCAGATTTCTTCCTAAAGAGCCGAGCAAGATCCTGTATCACTATCTGGTGTTTATTCGGCCCTTCGCTTGCATGCTGTTCCGAATCTGCTTCAACATAGACGCTGAAAGTAGGCTTTTGTTTTCCTCTCCAGTCAAACCAAAGGAGCCTATCAAACATCCATTTTGTCGAAAATGCTTCGTGAGCAGACGATCAGCACGCTTGGGTTCCCTGTAGGTGTGCAGGTGTATCGACAACTCTCAATTGCAATTACAGAAAAGCACGTCAAACAGATTGCGGATCCCTTCAATCAACATGACGACAAGAGTAAAGAAGCGGACATCAATGTGTCGTTTGCGTGGCGAAGTGGGCATCGCCCTCTGCAGAGAGGGACGACGTACGGACTAGACGGTGCTTTTCCTAATAGTCTCCAGCCCGCACTCTTGCGCGTTTACGAATGGGCATCGAACGAATGGCACGAATTCTTGCAACTGCGACGTACTGACATCAGTGCCTCTTCCAACATGGGAGAGAGACAAAAGCGAGGGGTTCAGTCATCTGTAGACTGTGAACCTTCGAAACGGCGCCGCACTGCTAGCCCTCCGAAGCACGTAGAACACCTACCCTTGCAGGACCACCATACATTGCTTCAACACGGCAAGCACAAGACCGGAACCGGCCCTTGGGCCACAGCAACCGAAGCTGCCTTCTATAGAACTGCCCCAAGAATCTTTTGGACCGGGTCCGTGCCTATCTTTGGCCGTCCAAGTCCTCTTGAGCGTGATAGTGTGCTTGAGGAGAGGAAGCTAATCTCTGCTCACGTAAAGAGCCAAGAAGCAGAAGCGAACAAAGACTTCGATACCCCCTACCGTTTACATGGCATTGGGGAAGCGTTTGTGCGGTGGTCAAACGTTGGCTGCCAGTTATGTTACGCAAGCACCGCGGAGCAGGTACCAGACCACGACCTAGAACATTGCAGGTGACGAGATGCCTCTAACAAGGCTCGAAAGATCTTCAATTGGCTCCAAGATCTGAAGCTTCCACGGCTCGTGCCTGGCATCGGAGCTTGTAGTCTATGCTCAATGACTGATTTTCCCTGCAGAGATGTCATTGCCAGAATAAAGTCGGATGAAGCAGAATGTGATGAGGTGAAACAGCACTGGGAAACCTTTTAAAGGGATCACCCTTTGGCGATGACGAATGCCAAAACAAGTCTGTGGTGAAGAGGACAATTGCGGCACTTTGTGCTTACGACGATCAAATTCTTGGAAAGTACTTGTCGGAGCGACTGCGCGATGAAAATAATGTGGATTTCATGGCGCAAAATTTGGTGGCTTTCTGGTTCGAAAGACGTGTCAGTTTCTGCGACAGTAGCGTCTTGAGACTACTGTTTGTCTTTGAACTGCTAACATCGGCTTTTGATTTTAGAAAGTCAGTATCTGCAGCGGCAAAGGAGCCGCGCAAGATTGAAGACCTTCCGTGTCTGTATGAGCAGGGCTGGGATGACGACGATGAGTTGCAGGGCTGGCAAAACACATTAAAGTGGTGGGCTGGTAAATGTGGGTTCTGCGCAGGTCGCGGGCTAAGTGGTTCGAAGATCAATCACACCTTGGGGGAGTGCAGCCGGGGTGGGGCGAAGCAGCGATCCCTTCGAATAGGCGAAGCGATATTTGGAGAGAGGATCGAAGCGAAGGGTGGTTGTCGGAGATGCGGTATTCCTCGAGAATTTTGCGACAAATGGAGCAAGTCAATTGACGGACACTGGCAGCTGCGACCATTGATGCAGGATCCAAGATTCCACGCGTCAATGCCTTCCACCCAAGCTTCGCCATCAATTACTATCCACACATGAGCTGCTTTAGACAACTTCTTATTCTGGAGGTTGCGCAAGCATGCGGTCTTAATCGTAGGCAGTGGCACAACCAAATTTGGATGATGAGCTTAGAAAATCCTGCCAAGCTAAGGTCAAAGAAACATTGAGCTCTGGAACGGTGTAAATCAACCCGTAATCTGCATTGGCCCTCACTAGGAATTTGTCAAGCGCTTTACAACTACTCGCTGCTGAACACCGAAGGAACCTCGAGGTCATCCAGGCTTTCGCAAGATCGTTGAGTGCAAGCACGCGAAAATACAGCATACCAACTCGATATCGCCGCTTGGTTGAGAGCAGAATCTCCGAGCATTTCAATGACGCAAGTCTCTGTGTTCGCGCTATCCATTGCAAAAAAGAGGCCATCGATTCGGAAGATCTGACCGACAGCGATGCGGAAGCCATTGGTAATGTTCCTAAAGACACTATGGCCTTCCTCAAACGCCTGGTTTCCGCATTTCTGCCAGACTCTGTGCTAGCTCGAAATGACACTGTGGGGATATCTGGCGTGTATGATGTGCGCGCATTAGATCGTGATCAAGCAAGACGTGGCTAGGCGTGTGACCCTAGCAATGAGGAGGTGCGCAAGCTACTCCTCGGGTTGACGAAGCAGCTGAACTCTTCATTCAAGCTGGTAGCGATTTATCCTAGCCGCAGATACACTTAACATCTGTATGATTGGGGCTCCATCTTGCTTTCCCTTGCCATTGACTTGGAGACACTGTTGGGAAATCTTGCTACCAATAGCTCTCGGAATGGTGGGATGGATTCTACTTTGACCGAAAGACTTCTTGGGCTATCAATCAGCCAGAAAGATTGATATGGCCTCAGTAACTCAGTAACTTGATTTTGACGAAAGCTCCATACGGCTGCGAGGACACTCTGGGAAGTAATCAAAGAAGCAGAGTTAGATCTTAGGGGACGAGCTTCCTTCGGCGACATTGCCACTTTCGCCGTAACGCAGAACAGTTAGCGAATACCAAAACCATCATATGCAGTAGAAGGTTCATTTGACCAGGATGGTTTCAATCATGCATCTAGTACTGAACTCTGTCGATTTGACTGATTTAGACGGTTTTCTTGTAGTCGAGTGCGACACGTATTGCTGAGCCAGGGCCGAGCTGAGCGCTGGCGGATTTTAAGCTGTACTTCTGGCCACCAAGCAATGATAGGCCGAAATCGAGAACCGAGTTAGGCCTGGATGGAACTCTCAAGACCAGAGGAAGTTATCATGTCAACATTGCAAAACACTGTACACAGGATCACAAACGGGACTGACTTTCTGAGTGGAAACAGCTTTGGTCCAGCCAGGGTTTCATAAGGGTCCGCCATCCAACTGTTGAGGCTTCAATTTCGCGTTAATGCTACTTTTTAAAGAACTGCGTAGCGGGACAACCCTCAGCATCGAGAAGGAATCTTTCAGAAGAACGAGGTTCTCTTCCAGAAAATAAGACTGCACACTATCCAGTAGCCCGCTCTACCTACTGTGCAGCCAATTACGATCACCAGTCTTCATTTGCAATGCATTTTTCCGCTACATCAACTGTATAACCCACTGTAGCAGTCAACTACTCAGAATTGGTTGCAAGGAAGAAGAGAAACTCTACAGTCATCTATTTGGATAGAGCACATCGCAAGTCATCATGCAGCTAGATCCCAATCTACCTGAGACCTGCTATTCGGATTGCAACTCTTGTACATCTCCCACCTAGACACAACCCGGGCTCCATTAGTGAGCGATTATGCTCTCTGTCCGCACCTATTCAGGGCTGAATATATGGCGTCATTTTAGTACAGAAGAAGAGAGAGATTTAGGTCGTTATTTCTGCATGAGTTGCTCTAATAGTAGCTCGGTACAAAGGAAGCGAGTACGGCAGCGTTGGCAGTATAGTGACCATCGAAGTGTGTGTAGTAGTACATAGGCATTCACCATGCTTCTGGTCATATTCATCTTCTAGAGGAGTATATAGGGCGATAAATTTGGGGCCATGTCTCTCTCGTGTTTGCCGTAGCCGTAATGATAACTCCGGAATACTCGCTTAACTCCGTGATCTTATTAGCCATTGTAACGTTAAAATAAGGAACGAGTTAAGCTAGCGCATGGGGTTCCGAGACACCCGGGGATATGAGACCGCGCAGAAATCCTTCACCCCTTAAAAAATCGCGATAATTGATTCAGCATAACTACAATTGCCACTCACTATACATAGATTGTAGGGTTTTGGCTACTACTTCTGCTGCTAGCTTTTCTGCCTCTTTTTCTTTATTAGGACCACTGTTTTATTGCTCTAGAAGGGTAGATGCCTACTTTACTATTATAATTTAATCTATACTAGCAAAGCGTTGATTTGGATCTATACAAACTTTCTTTCGTGGCTGTAGAGGCTTAAGAGCCTCAAGTTAACTCTATAATCTTTTATTCTCTACTTCTAGCGCTGCTAAGCGTGTATTTGCTATTATAATTGCCTTGCCTGCTTTCTCAAAGAGCTAGTGAGCCTTTTGGCTGATACTCTACTCTCTGTGAAGTGCTCGCTAAGCCATAAAAAGCTGATGGGGGCCGTAAGGGGTAGATAGATAGCTCTCAGCGAGATGAGCTTGATCCTGGTGAGGTGGAGTAGCAGCCCTTTAAGTAACTTGAGATAAGTTAACTACCCGCTTAATATTCAACGGGCAGATACCTATAGTAGCCCATCTAGCGTGAATAACTCTCTTAGTGATTACGCCCTCTCTAGCAATATAGTAGGTAGTAATAAAGCGTTCCTTTTTAACTGGGGCGGTATTATTAAGGTGTGATGACTCCTAGATCTACTAGCGATAGAATCGCTTCACTGCTAAGAAAACAGAGAGATCTAGGGGCTGTAGAATGTGAGATGAGTGAGTAGGGGGAAATAGAAGCCTAACTTTATTCTACTTATATATCCACAGGAACTCTAGGTTAATATGGCTGCCGTAGCCATCTAAAATTAGCATCCTCTAGTGATCCTCTAAGGGCGTAGTATCTGGTAAGAATATGCGTTATAACCACTTAGTACTAATTATATTAGATGTCTAGCTATTCTCTAACGTTACGTATAGCTAGTTAGGTATTATTAATAGAAACTAGGTACTCTATAGGTTTTTGCCTTTAAAAATAACTATAGGCCTTAGCTTCTTCCTATTATTGAAATATACTTAATTATTGACGCCCACTTACAATTCTCTAGAGACTAATAGTAAGCCTTCTTTTTCTAACTTCCTATAAGTACTCTAGTATTTGCATATATACCTAGGGCCTTCCTAGTCTCATCCATATTCTATGTATCCTTATTGTGTATACCCAGCTCAACATGGAGCTACTTATAGAGCTAAACAAACTTACGTATTGCCTCCTAAGTTGCTTCCTTAGCTCTTATAGCCTCAATCTTTCTACCTATTATAGAGGCAACGCGTGGGTTACGTTTAATAAAGTAGGATATCTAGTATTTACCCACTAATGCGTGGTCGCCGTTCATCCTAAGGATTTGATTTGCCATTTCTCGTGTACGAGCGTGAGAAGGAGGAAACCCGCGCGCGTCCTCTTCAATTATCCATTGTACGAGAAAGTCCTCTTGTTGTGGAGTCAATCGTTGCTGGTGTATGTGGCTGTTTTGCCAGTTTTGTGAACCGCGTACGCGCCTAGAGAGCGTGGCTAGGGGGATGTTGTATGCCTTTGCAGCAGCTCGTTGACTAGGAAAAACGCCAGCATTAAGATCGCTAATAGCTGCTTGAAATGCAGCCTCACGGTTGGCCATTTTGGCAGGGTGGATGTGGAGATATCGCGATTGTTTGAAGGGTGGAGGATTTCTGCGCGGTGTCTAATATCCCCGGGTGTCTCGGAACCCCATGCGCTAGCTTACGAAGTTTCCTGCTTCAGTTTGTGACACAATTGTGACATCATGCCATAGCTCCACCACCGTCAGTAAAACACTATACATTAGTCCCATATAGTGTACATTCCATACCGTACTGCACATTTCACTAAGGGTGCTTGCGGCAGACCGGTGTAATCATTCCAGACGCGATTGCAGGAATGTAAGAGTAGAAAGGACAGACTGCGCGATCTGATGTTGATCACCCACAATTAAATTATAACCTGTCTTCACTTGATTTACACGTTCTTTTAAACAACCAAGACGAAGATACTCTTCTCAACGCGAAAGAGCAGCTGATTCGTTTATTTTCGTCAATAGATTCTTACTTTCATTTCTGATAGACATGGTCAAGCCGGCTCAGTCTAGCAAGACCGATATTGAAACAACGTAGGTCTAGTCGCGATCCATGTAGTGCATCCGATTAATGAATGACTCATCAGATGGCAAACTATCGAGGCTGGTCTTAGGCAAATCCTGAGGCACCCATCGGAAAATCTTGAATTGGACATCAAAAGATACATGTGTCTATATACGGCCATACACAACTTTTGCACAGTACGGAATGCTGGTAGCATTGAAACTGAGCAGGGTAAAGCTGGCCGCAAGCGCGGAGAAGGTTTGTTAATGGGTGCAATAATGGGGTATTGAGATCTAACTATCATCCTATAGCATACCTTCTCGGAAAGGAATTATATGATAGATTGAAGCAATCACTTATCGAGCACGTCCAAGGAATCCAAGATGAAGCTAGACGACTTCCGAATGAGAGATTACTCGGATTCTACACGGAGAAGTGGGATCGATACACAACCGCTGCGAAATACAACAACCACTTGTTCAAGTATCTAAACCGCACCTGGGTGAAGCGGGAAATCCAGGAGGGAAAGAAAGACATCCATGATGTATACATGCTACATCTCGTTGTATGGAAAGAGATGGAGGTCGCTACTGTTCATGAGGACGTAGAAGACGCTCTGGCTCAGCTTGGGGAGACACGTCAAAATGGATTCGATCAGGGTATCATTCCGTAACATGACCTGGCGATGACGAAAGAGCTCCAAGGCGCGACGGTTGATGGCTAGGGCGCTTTTGGGTCTGAGGAAACCAATGCAACAGGACACGCATGGCGAGCGCCACGTAATTCGACACCTACTCAGTTAATAAATATATGGCTTGAAATAACGAAAAAGTGAAAGGGATGCAATTGCGTCACATACGCAGACTGCCGATTTTCCTAACTAGGTCCTTGATTCCAATCTAAGATCTATTTGATGTGTGTGTAATGGAATAGCTTTTTGCGCTTTGCTGCAATTCTTAATTGTGAGTGTCTGTAACTCACTCTTAAGGGCAGAAATTCCTTCTTTCAACGTCTCGTTCTGACTCCTATGTGCGCTACTATATTCCTGAAGCTCCTTTATCCGGTTTCCAAGCTCGTCGACCCTTGCCCTTAACGCCTCGTTCCGGTCCTGCAACGTTTCGTTTTGGGCTTGTAGCGTTTCGTTCTGCCTCTATAGTGCGGCCTGGTTGGTTCTAATATCCTCTATCATCCGCTCCTGTCTTGTGATGACGTCCCGTAGGCTTGCTATAAGCCAGGTTATCTCTTCCCATCGCGTTTGTGGAAGTTCTGGGGATCTCCTTTGCCTTGATCGTAACCTAGCGATGCGATTGGTCTTATTTGCGGGTACGTTTGATGGTTGGTTTACTCGTGTCGTGTCTGGCGCAGCGTCTGGGTCGAGGGTAGTGGGTTCGGTCGTGGTTCCTCGCCATGTCGTTCCGTCGAAGAAGGTAACCGGTCTTGGTTCGCGTTGTGGGCGTACCGGTTGGTCACCGTCGACGATTGGTAGGGGGACGTTCGTGTGGGGTTCGTCGGTCATCCCGCCAGGACGCGTCGGGGTCGCCGCCTGACGCTAATTAGTCATGCAGCATCAGTCACATGACCACTGTCTTCATCGCCCATCTTGACACTCCCCCTCGATGAGGGCAGTGCTCCCCCTTGATGCTGTCGGGTACGCACAAGTTGTTCCGTGCTCCGGGAGCCGTTGCCTTAATCATCGATCCTCCGCAAGCCAACCATCCGTCGAAAGGACTCAAACTTCGTCTTGCCCAATGGCTTGGTGAGTCCATCCGCTGGGTTCAACTCGCCTGCGATCCATTCCATCCTAACCAGCTGCTCCTCCACCTTTTCTCGTACAAAGTGATACCGGATGTCCACGTGCTTCGTTCTCGCATGATACATCGGGTTCTTAGCCAGGGCCAGGGCCCCTCGATTGTCTCCGAGTATGGTTACTGGCTCAGACGCGCTCGGCTGAGAGAGGTCAACTCGCAGCTGACACAACAGTCGCTGCAGCCATATCGCTTCCTTCGCGGCCTCAGACTCCGCGATGTACTCGGCCTCACAGCTGGACAGCGCCACTGTAGCCTGACGCTTCGACTTCCAGCTGATGGCGGTGCCGGCAAATGTGAAGACGCAACCCCCGGTTGATCGGCGATCATCATCTCTTCCCCAGTTCGCGTCCGTGTAGCCCGTCAGGATATCTAGCCGATCTTGCGTATCTATCACCAGGCCGTAGTCACTGGTACCCTTCAGGTACCGAAGAAGCCTCTTCAAGGCCGCATGGTGTTTCTGTGACGGATTGGCGGCGAAGCGACCCAGCTGACTGACCGCATACGCAATATCCGGGCCAGTACAGAGCATCAAATACATGAGGCTACCAACCGCTCGCTGGTACCACTTCCGATCCTGCAAGTCTGGCGCCTCTTTACTAGGTTCCAACACAAGATTCTCATCCATCGGAGTCGCCACAGGAGTACAGTCTGCCATTCCGAAGGTTCTCAACACCTTCTCGGCATATGCGCGTTGGGTCAGCTTGATCCTACTACCCCGCGAGGTATCCTCCCGGATCGCCTTCACTCCCAGATAGTGGGCGACCGGACCGAGATCGCTCATGCTGAAGTGCTCCGACAGAGCGCTTTTGACGGATGCAATCGTCTCCTGGTCCTTCCCTAAGATCAAGAGGTCATCTACATATGTCGCAATGACCAGACGTTTGTCTCGATTGACGAAGACGCTATGGTCTTCTGAGATTGCCACGAATCCCATGGGCCGCAGCGCCTGGCTCAAGGTAAGGTACCAGATCCGAGGAGACGGCTTGAGCCCATATAGGGCCTTCTTGAGCTTGCAAATCTTCCCAGGGTACTGGTCTTTGATATTTGGTGGCAGTTCCATATAGACGTCTGTGTCGATCTTGCCATACAGAAAGGCTGTCTTGACGTCCATCTGCTCTATCGACCAGCCCAGCAGGCAGGCCAGAACGAACAGAAGCTTGTAACTCATCGGCTTTACCACCGACGCAAATGTCTCAAGCACGTCGACGCCTAGTTCTTGTTCGAATACGCGGGCGCACCATCGGGACTTGTAACGAGTGACTTCTCCATCGGCATTGGTCTTGACCTTGTATGCAAACTTGCCGGTTAGGATTGACACTCCTGGTGGTTCTTCGTCCATGGACGGAATCCATCGTGATGCGTCCGCACAGGTGGCAGCATCCTCATAGTTCTTTGGTTCGTATGCGCCGCCAGCAGCATGATCAACCACATGGTTCTCGAGTTTATCTTGATTCTTCTCCAGCGCTGACAGCGCAGCTAGACACTCAGTTACTGCGCTCCAATCGTCATGGTCTACGGACGCTAGCGACTGGGCTACCTGAGTCTGTGTACTCTCTTCGGGGAAGCGTTCCGCTTCATTTATCTCGCCGTCTTCGGCGATCAACACGAGTCCTCCATCGATCCCTACCAGGCTTCACTGACGCAGCCGCTAGAGTCTCCCCCTCGATCGTGGAGTACCGTCGCCGCTTAGCTCTGTGTGTGAGGGTATCTTGAATGCTAACCTCGTCGCAATAGGCTGGTCGGCGCACAGTCTCGGGGACCTCTCCCCCTGGGCCAAATATGTCCTCATTGAAGTGCAGATCTCGAACTAACTCGACTCGCTCGGTGCAGGTGTTCCATACCCGATACTGATGTTTCGCAACGGAACTGAGAAGATAGCACCTGTCCGCCCGGGGATCAAGCTTCCTAAAGTTCGAGTAGGCGCTTCGGGGTCGGGGCTTCCAGCACTCGCAGCCCAACACTCGCAGGTGCTCTATTGGCGGCAGCCTTCCATACAGTCGCTCGTATGGTGGCTGATCGTTGGGATTAGCCGACGTTGGGCAATAGTTGACTATGTCAGTGACACTGATGAGGATCTCAGCGAAACAATGTTGACCGAGATTCGACTCGTCTAGAGTCGCTCTCACTGCAGTGAACAAAATATTCATGCCCCTTTCTGCGACCCCGTTCTGCTCTGGATTATACGGTGCTGTAGGCTCAACTCTGACGCCTGTCTCTCTGAAAAACTCGTTTAATAGTTTGTTATCGAACTCTCCGCCATTATCTCTTCGGACGGCTAGCAGTTCGTGTTTTAATTCTTTCTCGGTCTGGGTCTTCCAGATCTGCAGTTCTCTTGCTGCATCGTTCTTGTGTCGCAACACTCTCACCCATCTGTATCTTGTATAGTCGTCTGTAATGGTGAGAGCGAAGCGATCATCAACTTTCTTCTTGCCATCATACGCGTTGACTGGCCCTGCTAGGTCAACAAAGACCCTCTGTAAAGGCTTATTGCTCCTTGTCCCGGAGTTCTTGAAGTTTCTCCTCTTTAGACCTGTTCGATTGCAGGATTCGCATGGTAGCAGTGGGTCCTCTGCACTTGATGCATTGAGACGTCGCAGCAGCCTTCTCAACCTCCCTTCTTCGAGATGCCCCAGTCCACGATGGTGAGTGTCGATGGACACGTCTGAGGGTATTGCTGTGAAGGCATATGGCTGCGGTCGTCGCTTTCGGGTGACTTCTGCTTTCGGTCGTGACAGTACGTACAGGTCGGTGGTGCGACAGTCAGCCGTGGCTATCACTTGGCCGGTCTCTGTCCGCACAATCTCAAGATCATGGCCATCCATCACGAATCGTATGCCTGCCTTCTCTCCGTCATTCGTCAACGTCAATGCTCGACAAGAGATGATGTTGAAAGGGAGACCTGGCGCATACGAGACGTTCTGGATGGTGAAGGTCTTGTTGTAGACTTTGCCGTCGACCTCGCAGGCGATGGGGATCTTGACTGTCCCGACGCCAGCGACTGCCACGCCTCCGCCGACGCCCATCACCCGCTTCCCGGGTGGCGCCGGACTCAGCGTCTCAAAAAGCGACCGTCGTCCGGTCACGTGCGTGTAGCTTCCACTATCGAGGACCCAATCATCTGGGGCCAGTCGTCCGTTGATGACGCTTAATGCTAGTGGCAACCATGGGCCGTTGGTCTCTGCTCATGTCTCTGCCTCGACTTCCATCCACCATCTTGCTCCCAACGCCACCATTACGCAGGCGAAAGCAGTCCACTGCGACAGGCATAGCACATATGCGATCACCATGCCCCAGCAGAGACTCTCCCCGCGCACTGATAGTCAATCGGAGGTGGATCCTTGTACGAAGTCACTTTCTTCGATTCTTCTTTTCTTTGCAGTACTCTCTGGATGCACTGTTTCTGTACCAGATCTTTTTCTGCCTTGATTCTCAAAGTGCTCAATGTACCATTTCGGCCTGTATCTGGCGTTCTGGCTCATTCGGTAGCATCCTTTCGGCCCTGCAACCGCCAGGTGGCCCACTCTGCCGCAATGCGTGCATCTCTTCTGGCTGTTCACTGCCAGAGTGATGCCATCGTCATTGTTCATCTGTCGTTGTTCCTCTTGGATCACCTCTCGCGCCAAGCTCTGGAAGTCCTTCGGGTCGGTGACCGAGACAATGGACTCATCCGAGCTCAGGGCTGCGACCTTGTTGTCGAACGCACTGGTGAGTGCTGTCAAGAAGTGGGAGTTGACCAGCCACGACGGCAGGCGGTAGCCTGCGTCAACCGCGACCAGTTTCTCCTGTACCTCTATCAGCTTGTTGCGAAACTCGCTAACGCTCCCAGTGTTCGCGAGTGTGGTGCCCAAGAACTCTTTGAACAACGACCAGACGATCGCGCTCCCCCGCTGGCGGTTGCGCTCGCCTAGGAGTGCCATTGCCTGGGAGGGCAGCTCGATGCTCTCGCTTTGGAGTGACGACCTGATCGTCCCGTCGCAGGCAGTATGAAGGATGCCCATGGCATTTCGGCAAAGTCGTTTGAACTTCGTCGACACTGTCTGAATGGTGGTGGTCGAAAGCGCATCAAACCTGCCTTCATACATCTCCCAGAGGTTATGTATTTCAGCCACGGTCTGAAACAATTTCTTCCACCCCTCGTAGTTGGTGACTCCTCCCAACTTCTTGAAGCCTTGCTCGTTAACAGCTTTGCCAGCGCTGCTAACCTTGGCATGTTTCTCAAAGTCCAGAAAGGCCTCCACCAGATCGCTGTCATCTGTGCTGCCTGCCGGACCTTCACTTATCACTTGTAGCTCCCCTGTCAAGTCTCTGAGTCTGCGGTTCTCCGCTCTTAGTCTCTCCATCTCGTCACGCGTTGCCGCATGTCCATTATCTCCACCTTCCTGCCCTGGTTGTCCACTCTCCTCTTGCCGTTCGTGCATCACCCGTCCGCCGGTGCTTCCGTCCGGATTGATGCGGCGGTTGCGCTCCATCTCTTCAAGCCGGCGCTGTTCGGCGGCGGTGATATTGCGACGAGTGGGTCGAGTCGAGGACATCTCCAGGACAGTGGCTGAGAAGGCTTCTCCAATAACTGTATTGCGTGCTCGTGTCGATTGCTGATGGTTGACGGGTGCTGCGATGGAAGCATTTTCTACTCGGTGCCCATATCCTTATCGGCCCTTCAAGGCCTCGGATCGTCTGGAAGGACGCGTGTACCTCTTTGGCTACTCTTGCACCGTTCTGACGAGTTCAGGGACTTCCATTGGCTCATCCTGAACCCCCTCTCGATTGCTGAGGCGCTTCTTCGCCTCTCGAGCCCGTTGTACAACGCAGCTTGGTCAGAGCTGCGAGGTCCCATCGCGAGGGAACTGGTTGCGCAAGCACTGCTCCTTGGTGCTAAGGTGACGGGCTCAGGACTACCAGGCTCGTCCTGGGCCCCCTCTCGATTGGCGCTTCTCGCCTCTCGAGCTTGCTATACAACGCAGCCTGGTCAGAGCTGCGAGGTCCCATCGCGAGGGAGCTGGAAACTGCACTTCAAGGCGCTTTGACGAGTCCAAGCTTACCAGCACTTATCCTGGATCCCCACTCAATTGCTTGGACGCTTCTCGCCCCTCGAGACTCTCTACAACGCGGCTTTGTCAAGGCAGCGAGGTCCCATCACGAGGGAACTGGTGCGAGCACTGCTCTCGGTGCTGTGACGAGTTCAGGACTACCAGGATCGTCCTGAACCCCCTCTCGATTGCTGAGGCGCTTCTCGCCCCTCGAGCCCATTGTACAACGTGGCCTTGTCAGGACCACGAGGTTCATACAACATGCAGCCAACATGAGGGAACCCTCACTCCCTGTTTTGTATTGGCCGTAAGCAATACGCGAAAGCGCCGGGCTCATAACCTGTCAAATCTTTGGGGGTGTAAGAGTTGTATTGTCAAGGTGAGACTAAGACTAAGTACTGACGCTAATTAGTCATGCAGCATCAGTCACATGACCACTGTCTTCATCGCCCATCTTGACACCAGCTATTATTGAGGCTCTACAGCTGCAGAAGAACTGGCGCCGTCTCAAGTCACCTCAACAAGCTAGAGACCCACGTGATCAAAAAGGACAAGGATAAGGGCAAGGGCAAGGCATCTACACCTACTGCCAGCAATGGCGACGACCCATACTCTACCCTACTTCTAAATTAGGCAATATATATACAACCTAGAGCTTTAGGAGCTCTCCTAAATCCTATTGATCTAATATCAGTGAATCCTACTAATTGATCGGCAATATAGAATGAAAACGAAAGGGAAGAACTTCAGTTCCCAGACCGACAAGTCTCAACTCCAACTACATGCGAAAATACCGGGCTATCCAAACGCTGTGCGGGCACATGTGAACATGACCAGAATGGCACATGCGCTCGCTGTTCTGGACCATTAGACGGATCTGCAAGTCCACCAACTGAGAAAGCACGCTCAAACTCAAAGATTCAACACGACACCGACTATTTAGAGCCAAAAAATGGTGGTGTTGGAGATATTTGGAAAAAAGACCCCCTTGAGCCTCCCCAAAGATCCGGAAGCATTTATTGGGCTCCCCAAGGATATGGGGCTCCTGAGGATCGCGACAATCGTTATAATTCAGCTACTGAATTAGGAAACTCTGAATAAGTCAACTCCCCTGACGATCGCCTTACTATGGCTATATAGTTCAGTTAGAATCACAGTAATACAACTTCAGTGAACCTTCAATATTTCCATTGCACGATACCTACGGTCCTAAAACCGTCACAGTATTCGTTAACTGTAGGAATTCGCACAGGCGTAGACCGTCTGGGTAGGGAATCCACGATTGCAATCGGCCTACCACTTCAACATTTGTGTGTTGCTTGAGAGTTTTCATGATACGGTCCCGTTCACTCTTAGTCTTGCTAGCCAGCGTTATGAGCTCATTTGCATTGAGCGACCAGTCCGATTTACGTAGGGACACAGCTTTCCCATCCAGTACCATCCGAATGCAGCCAGACGATGGATGGTCTATTAAGACTTGGTCTTAGTGTCGTTTCCAAGGCGTTTGTTGGTTGGGTAAAAGCTCCTCGCCGGGTTGTTCAATACGTCGACGTTTGGAAAGACTTGCACGTGAAACACTTTCTACGCTGGATTCGACATGCTCTTGACTCTGTTCGCCTTCTTTTGATACATCGTTGTTATCCGATGCAGGGTCCCATATCTGCGTAATCGTCTTAGGATACTCTTTAGGTTGCCAGGCAGACTCGATTGTGCTTAGCGTGGGGAAGTTGGACGGTGTTCCCGCCCTTTCAGCAGCCATCTGCTGCCCCCCATACCCGGCAGCCTGAAAAGCTTTCAACATGGAAGCTGATTCCATTGGTTCTGTAGGCGTTCCGGGGTCTAGTTCCAAATTCTGCGCCGGAACGATTGCCTCGAGCAGTTTGGCCGATTCTCTCAGGCACTCGCTTGTTGTCAGCCTCATACGAGGATCCATCGTCAGCATGCTGGACTTGAGAAAGTTCAATAAGCCGTCTGATTCCCAATCGTCAATCTCCCGAATAAGTATCTCGTACCAACGTTCATGATCGAAACGGTCCTCTACCATCGGGGCATCCGGCAGGCGATATGTGCACTGAAACGCGATAAGGCCTAGCGACCATATGTCTACTTTGGAAGTGTAAGGGCGGTTCTGCCAAATCTCCGGGGCAGCGTAGAGCCTCGTGCCGCAGACTGTCTTGAGGAAGGAGCCATCTCTAGCTAGTCCGAAATCAGCAATTTTGATGCAGAAATTGGCGGGCTCTCGGCACTGAACCAGAATGTTTTCCGGTTTGAGATCGCGATGCATGATCTTGCGGGAGTGTAGATAATCAAGAGCTTTGAGCCCTTGGCAGAGTAGTGTAACGGTCTCCCATTCAGTGATTGGCATGTGTTCCGCTAGGTTCCCAAGGGGCAGATATTCCATTATTAGGCGAGGCCATTTCCGTTCGGTGTCGTAATCCTCGAACTTTACAATGTGGTCCTAGGAACAAGTTAGTGGATCTTTTTATCACTGGTGCGAGTTACTCCTTACATGCGAAATATTACGCAAAAGTGCGACTTCTCTATCCCACCTTTCCCGGTGACCTTTGCCGTTCCGTAGGAACTTTTTAGCAGCATATATTACACCGGTGCTCACATTAACAGACCGGTAGACAGTCCCAAATTCGCCGCTTCCAATCTCTTCACGATCAACCCAGATCGGCCGCTGTTTCGGGTGCTGATTTGGAGTGTGTGATTGTGTTTGGCCTGCAATGGTCGGGTGGCTATCGATGTTGAGACCGAATGAGATCGCCGTTCGCATCTCGGCCAGGTATGAATTTCTCAGCCTTGTGTATTGTTCCGGGCAGGAATCAGCGTCGGGGTCCACAACGTCGTCCACCGAAAACTCGATAACAGGGGCGTTGGGAAGCTCGTCAATCTTATGGCCGGTTATGACCCGTTTATCCTCGATGCCAGGGAAGAGGATCCAAGTGAAATCGTTCGATTGGTCCGGCGGTGTTCTCCGTTTTCGGTCCAGTGGATTTTTTCGTTTTTCGCCCCTTGCCTGGCTATCATAGCTGACTGCTGTTCCATGTGTGGACGAGTCAATCAACACGAGGCGGCCTTGATCGTCGAACGTGATTCTGAAATGCGAGCCGCTTGTGCCACCTTTCGAACTCCCCATAACCACATCGCAGGTTGTTGGGTTGCTGCCGAATACCCATCCGTCCTGGATATTCTTCGGCTTTTGGTCGAATGTGAAGCGCAGCTTGTTGCCATCCCCTTCGCAGTCCTCATCTCCTATATTCGTCGCTGGCGTCGACTCTCGGCTGGTAGTTGCATCATCAAGAGGATATGGGGGTACGTGATATCGTTCGTTGTGCGGATGCGGGAACCATTTCTGGGCGTCAGGGCTAATCGCCCTTAGTGTGAAAACAACGTTCGGGTCTTCTTTCATTTTTAGAAAACACGGTCAGGAAGTTTGAGACGGGAGCTTCTTTGGGTTTGCGGCTTCTCAGGAGAGAATGGGAGACGCACAAGATGCATTTAAGCCGGGGCATAGGGTGGAGCGCCATAATATAGGTGCGGTTTATTATTGAAGCAGCCACCTGAGTTGGCATGTTAATGCGTGAACCATTGGCTTTGCAAGCGATATAAACCGAGCTTATCGGTTAGCAACAAGGTCTCCTTATTTCTGCAGACTAATGCAGCCAATCTGTCCACTCGCCAACTCGAAGTCTCGAGGAAAATTCACGCTGGAGGAAGAAGGAGTGGTCGAACTTCCATTTCTCAAAAGTGTCTACGATTTCTGTGGTAATGGCGACTTCTTCCAGCTGTATTTCCCATAACGGCGGAAGTCTGCCTGCCTCACTATTCGAGCCTTTCGTTCCAGATGAATTTAGGGATTTGTAAAGTTTCAGGAGCCTCGTAAGGTTCTTCTGTAACTTGCTCTCTAGCGTAACAAGATTCTGTTCAAGGTCTTCAACAAATTACATACCCTTAGTTCTAGCTCTCTATTATGTATGTGTAGATACCCTGTCATCGGAGAGCAGGTCTTCGATAGTTGAAGAATCCAGTCATAATCTAACAACTGCGCTAATATGAGCACCCATTGTGTTGTTGGAGGTTGGGGGTGGAGCAAAGAATGTGGACGAACCACATCAAAACTTGCTAAGATTCCTACGCTAAACCTAAGTTGAACATCGAAGGGAACATGTTCTTCTCGAATCTCAATTTGGGTTTAGCTATGCGTCAGAGCAAGCGGGGTACACAGAGAAGATACATCCCAGCCAATCAATGCAAAGCCATTAGCGAGCGCTTCCCGCACTCTATCTTGTGAAAGTGCATCAGAGCAAGCTTCTCGCTTCAGATGGCATTATATGATAACAACCATCAAGCTGCAGGGCTTCGCTATGCGAGACTGGTACAAACGCCCCACTCCGGCACCGATTAGATTTAGCGGATAGTTTCGACATCACGTCCTCGCATATCGTGCCGTTGATGGACGCTCTCTTGTATTAGCCTTGGAGTTGCACCTCGTTGCTGCGGAATAGGGCTGCACACATATCGGCTTTATCTCTGTTGGTATAAATGCTGTAATGGGATTCGCATATCCAATATGCAAAAGTAAGATGCAAGCCAGACGAACAACTGAGCGGCCGTGCTGGCCCGTGATATATCATGCACTGTCTCTCACAAGGCTGAGACCATCATCCTTCTCCCATTGCCTTGCCATCTTCACCAGTTGTTATCATTGCGCTTCACCTTGGCCTCCGACCGGTCACGCAGCCAATCATGAATATTGACCTGCTCATACATGGTTCAGAAATCCAGTCTGAAAGACCCATGGCCACTTTGGGCCCCCTCTCACAATTGACAACCCCGACTACCCATGACCCTAAACGGCTAGTGAGCACCAACTCTCATGGACTCTCATTGTATCAGATCAAACGTTCAGCCTCTCAAGAACCACTACCCGAGGAGTCGCCAGCCAAAAAGCAGTCCAAGTGGACACCAGAGGAGGACAATCTAACCATCGAATTACGTGGCCAGGGCATGAAATGGGATGATATCGCCAAACGCCTGCCAGGCAGAAGCTCCATTTCGTGCCGTCTACGCTACCAAAACTACCTAGAGAAGCGCGTCGTCTGGGATGAAGAAAAGAAGGACAAGCTCACAAGACTTTACGCTCGGTATGCAAGATCCTATTTGATTGTGACACGTTACAGCTTCGTCGGCAATCATCATATCTATCTAATCTGTTCCGTATACTAATAATATGGAATGGTTTCAAGGACCAGATGTGGCAGAAAGTGGCGACCGAAATGGGAATTCCATGGCATTCAGCCGAGTCCATGCATTAGCAGCTTAGAGAACAGGAAATGAGCGCGCGCGCGAATGCACCAGTTTTTCAATTGCATCTATCGGCTACTTCTCAGAGCATACATGCAGGGGATACTACTAAATTAGGAGATATGCCTTTATAGAAGCTTAAACCACCACCGCGCCAGATTTCAGCCAAGGTCCACCCCAGCGGCGTTCCAACGGTACCCGTACCCGACAAGAAAGAAGGGGAGACACAGCCGTTGGATGAACTAGTGGGCAGGAGGAGCGAGGAATATTTCCGCGTTTCCCACAATATAGTGCCTCATAGACCATTCGTAGTGACAGTGTAACCCCGTATTATTATCTCCTAGCCACCCATACATGCAAGGCCGTGGAATTACTACATATAATGGCGTACCAACCTATAAATCAACCAAACTCTTTCTACTTTTTAACTAAGCATATGCAACACTCTTCGGGACACCGGAGGTTTCCGGCATATTTATGTCGTTAGCCGTCCGTTTGGCCTCTAATCGGCTTCGCTGCAAATGCTGATTATGCTTTTGGGAAGAAGCGGCAACCCATGCGGGGCTGGTAGCTATACAAGAGGTGTTATCCTCCTCGCTACTTGCGTACCAACTTGCACATTTATAACCATGAATACTATCGCTACCTTTTTCTACGCTAGTCTAGCCTATAGCATCTCTCTTTACCTAATTCCTACCTATAGCAGCCTTTTACTTGTTATAATCACTTCTACATGCCTTACTTTGGGTTTTTAATTCTTCGGCTTATGGGTT